AGCATCATTGCTACCCCTGCAGGAGCTGCTGCTGCAGAGTAGAGGTGGTCAAATATTTTTGATAGACCAGTTTTCTTTGAAAAATTCAGTTTACTCTAAAGTGAAGCCTCTTGCAGGAATGTGTTGCTTTTGATGAAAAGAAGCCTAAAATTTTTTATCTAGACAGGGTTATGTTCCATTTTGTTCAATTATTCTATTAAAATTATATACAGACCACCACCACACGGGCTGTGTGTTCCAGGTTGGAACAAGGCGTTGTAAGTGTCTGAGTTCCCATGGAACAGAAATTCCAGTTCCTGAACAGCTCTACTGTCGAGGATTGCCTGGCTGCCCCTCCTCACAGTCTGCCTAGTCAAGGGTGAGAGTTGGGGAGAAGCACTGATCATCAGAGACCCAGCGTTTGAGGAGAGAAAGCTGCCAAGTCTCCTTCACTGCAAGAGTTTTCCCACTGCTGTCAAAGTAGGAAAATGCACCTGGCTGCTCCTTTGAATCTGACAGCTCATCTGCATGTCTTTGGCCCCCAGTTCCTGTGACAGTCCATGGAACAATTATAGAAGCAAGGTGGCACATGCATGCCCATGGAAGAAGCAGGGAGCCCCATTTTTCCCAGGCACCAGGAGAAGTGGCATGTGGGCAGAGACCCTCGAGGGCTGGGTGCGGAAAGGCAGAGACACACCTTAGAAGGAGCAGGAGATTGAAAGGGAGCGACACTACAGACTAGTGGGATCTCTCCAGCAAAATATCACAGGAAGACCCTTATTCAATGACAAGGCATTAGATTAACACCCCTCCACCCCACCCCCAATCAGTTTACAGTGTTTCTGGCCTCCTCGGACATCTGCCTTTTCCAAGTTAACGCCTTAATGGCAATCTCAAATATTGGACAGTGTAAATAGTTGTTTCCTACTGCATCATATAGGATTTTAAAGCACCACTTTAATTTAATTCTGCCAGCAATGCTTTGTATTACCTTCATGCCTAATCCTCCTTCCCTTGATCTTGATTCTTCTCCTAGGCTTTCTAAAAAAAAAAAAAAGAGTTTCCAGATGCTTATGGCTCATTTTCTAACAATCTTTCCTTTCTGAAAGCTGCTGCTTTGATCTGATTTCCACTCCCACCCCCCACCCCACCCCCAATTCTCCTCCAGGGTTGAATTCCTCAGGTTTCTGTTTTCTTTCGAGAAAGGCACTGCTTCCCTAGTCATTTCTCAAAAGACTCCCTTTAACTTTTCATTAAATGCACAGACAGCTGGTATCAGCTCCTCATGAATTGGTTCAACACATTTCCATTTAAATATGTCCCTCCTGGCTTCATTAAAATTCCAGCCATGTTCTTTTCTGTCTTGTCATTTCCTTTGTACATTCAAATCTGAGTAAATAATTAGGGGGTGGGAGGGAGAATTGTTAGAAACCCAAGTTATTTATAGCTTCTCAGTTGCACTTTTGGGATTTGCTTTCACTTGGGTGGATTAGATCAAACTGAATTCGTTGGCTAAGTCCCTCAATTCTAGTGTTGTGTCCAAAAACGTTATAAATACAACAGTCATCACGGAGAACGTGCCAGATCCTCAGCTGGTGTACACTGGTCTCACTCCACAGAAGATAGAACTCCACTGAAATGAGAGATTCTGATTTACACCAGCTGAGGACCTGATCAAACCCTTAATTGGTAGACCCTGGTTGAAATGAAAAATTGACTGACATCATCAGAGGCTCCTAGATTTTTGTTGTTTAAGGAATTGCTTCAAAACCAGGAGCCCCTCCTTATTCTTTAAGCATATGAGAGTGCTTCATACTCACTAGCACTTCCTGGAGCCAGGCATATCATGACAGGTGCTGTGCAAACTGTCCACGAACAGCTCAGCTGCAATACTGCAGTGATTCTAGTCCAGGGCACAAAAATGGTTTATATGAGGACTGACTCAGAATGGAGGCTTTTGGTCCAGGAGTCAGGCACCTAAATACCTTTGAGACTCATTCCCCACACTGTTACTACAGTTCTACCCTGCTGTCCTGCCCCTGAAGGTGGAACAGCAGAACAATGAAACTGGCATAAACAATGGGGGGGGGAGGAGAAATCAGGCCCTGTCCATTCAAATACGCCATTTCTTCCCCTCTAATGCCATTTCCAGAAAGTCACTTTCCATTAAAACAGCTGCCACCTGAAGCAAAAACACAAGACAACACCCCCCCCCCCCCCCAAAAAAAAACCACATTTAACTTCTCACTGTACCAGCCTCAATTCATGATCCTTTCCTCTGAGGCCCAAATGTTTCATTGCCTAATCTATTGTCCTGCACCTGAATTTCCACAGAATGATGCTACTTACATCAATCATAATCAAAGGCAGAACCTTCCTATCTACTGCAGACCTTTCACTTCCAAGCTGAGAGTATCAAATGGATCCCAACTGAACAGCCACCCAACCAAGTTAATTATGAGAACATGTACAATCTTCAGCTAAATATAACTCTAGTTGAAAGACAGGCAGGCAAAAGCACCATGTGAACAGAGGTGCTCTCCCTGATCATTATTGTAGAAAAAGGACACTTCATCCTACAGCAATATATCAGCCAGATGGCCCTGGAGATATACAGGGGCCACACTTGCAAGGAGTTGACTGGAAGAGAGGTTTAACAGTGCACTGCTTCTATTATAGTCTAGCGAGAGTCAGCATTTTCAGGGATATACACAAAGGAGGATTTAACCTTATCCCAATACCGACCACGTCATGATAAGTTGCAATGTTGTTCTATTCCTATAATATAATAAGCTGGTGAGCTGATGCCAATGCAATAAGATAAGTGTTTGTTTCATTCTATACCACTGTAGGGGTCTAGTACTTGTGTTAGGCACCTAACGGCGAACAGTCACACCCTGGCTTTTCATACACAGAAGACTATGTCTGGAAAGCCCCCTACCCTCAATCCTTTAGTAGTGAGGAACTTCAGAGAACAGATCTGAGCTTGGGTGGCATTGAAAGGGCCCAATCGGCATGCCTGTCCCCTTGGAACACCTACAGAAGGCAACAGGGTGATTATGCATGGGGGACTTGCAAACAAAGTCTTACTATTTGTTTAATCCTGTAAAAGGGTTGACTCAGCATGGGTGCACCCCCTCATAGCAGGGTACTGTATAGCAGCCTTTTCTGCTCTCATTCCCATGGCCAACAGTCACTCTGGTGGTCTCTCTTCTTGCCGCTCAGCCCTCTAGCCAGGTCAGGTTTTAATCCCACTGTTTCCAGGGTAACAGAGCATTCACAAATAATCTCGTGTCAGGTCTGTGGCCTCTGACTCTGGGCCCAGTGGTCTTTACACCCTTCTCTCCAGGCTTTGAGTTGTCCTTATTCCCTTACATCAGGGGCTTCATACTGCCTTCCCAGTGGCTGGTGCGGAAACCCAGGCCCACTCTCTATGTTGGGTTCTAGTCCAGAGACTTTAAGACAAACAGCATGGTCTACTCTGTCAGACACCTTATCCCTGCCTCCCTAGGCACCTTCCTACCATTAGTCTTTCACAAGGCTTTTCCCCCAGCCCCTTCCTGGGCTCTGTGTAACAAGCAACACCTCCTAGGATATCTCCCCAGAGAGTCAGTTCCTACTCCTTCAATAAGGATCAGCCACAGAAGCAGCTCTAATCCTGTGTCTTCTGGGTAACTCCACTTATCTAGTGCCCAGAGAGTCACTGAAGAGCTCTGCCCTCTCTTCCTAGAGCCCCCAAACTCCAGTCCAAATGCCCCTGAGGCTTTCCCCTCACTGCCTCTGGCTTCCCCTGGCCCCAAGCTTCCCCCAGCTCAGAACTCTCCAGCTCTGGTTTCTCTCTCTGCCTTTGGGCCAGAAGAGGAAACTCCCAGGTATTTGTCTCCTCCCTACCTTCTTTCACTGCCCTGTACTGCTTTCTTTATGGAGAGACAGCGGGTTCAATCCCTAGTTAAACAAGGCCCATCCTCCAGGTGCAGCCAGGTTGCAGAACTGGCCTCTCCGGCCCAGATTAACCCTTCCATTGCCTCTGTGAACTACACACTCATTAAAATGAACCCATAAACAGGGCTTTATTTAGTGACTATTTATGGCCCAACCTTCCCAGAATCAGGGCTGACCGTGTCATTTCTAAAGGCCCCAGGGGCTCCCATCAGTACTTCGGAGGAGATGTTCTGCTCTGCTTCCTTTACACCACCTGGGCTGTTCAATGGGGAATGAAAACCACCCTCAGGCCCCTGCTTGGGTCCCTCAGTGGGTGTGGGGAATGTGGAACCCCAGTGGGTGTAACTCAGTGGTTCCCAAACTTTCTATGATCATGCCCCCATTACTCCTGTCTGTGCCCCTCCCCCCAGAACCGGGGCCAGGAGCGGGGCTGAGGCTTGGGGGAGGAACGTGGATGAGGTAAGGAGGCCAAGGCTGGGGCCACAGCTGGGGTTGGGGCTGGGAGTAGGGACAGATCTAGATCCATAGCCAGGGGCCAAGGCTGGGGGTGGGACCAGCAGCAGGTGCAGAGCTGCAGCCAGGACACAGTCATCAGGGGCCGAGGCTGGGGCTGGGTGTGGTGCTGGGAGCCAGGGCAGCAACTGGAGGTGGGGTTGGGACAGAACTGGGAGATAAGCAGAGCGGAGCCGGGCAGCCCTCCCTCCTGACCTCCCGTGGGGGCTGGTCCAGGCCCTGCTGCACCCCCCCCCAAACGCTCCTCACTGCCCCCCACAGGGGGTGCACCCCACAGTTTGGAGACCTCTCATGTAAGTGCTTCACACATTTCAGTTTTAAAGTCTCACGGTGCGGCCCAGGGAACAGAGTTTCAATGTGTAATCAAATACAAATTGTTATTAACCCAGGCACATTTGAGGCCATGATATCCAGCCCAAGGAACACAAGTAGCCCCTGATCCACAGTGTGTCACATCTGATTTAGATCATCATCAACCTTATTTCTTCATTTTTCTTTGATGATGCAAAAGGAATAAGAGTTAACATTTGAGGGGTTTGACATTGCAAAACTATTAATCATCCAAGTTAGTTCTTCTCTTTATTATTGCTCACTCCACAGCATGGATTCAGGCAGTCAGGTCAGGGGAATATAGGGAAAGGTTAAAATCTATTCCAGCAGTAATACAGCACCCCCTGGCTTCAAGTGGTTTCCATCACATACAGCGTTTACAGTTTGGTTCACTATACAAATTGTTCCAGCACCCCTGCTGTTACTCGTAAATAAGGCCCAGATCCTAAGCATATGTGTAGTCCAGTTGACTTCAGCAAGATTATTCTGGTGCTTTGAAGTTACTCATAAGCAAGGAGTTCCAGGATTGGGGCTTAAGAGACTAAGAATTTTGAGATTCAAGCAATGGGTAAAAAATCTTCTAATAGAGGCTACTTTATCCAGCAGTTTTAAAGATGGCTCAAGAGGAAAAGGCCCAGATCCTCAGGGCATCACCTGGAAGTTAGGTGCCTAAAAACTTTAGAGTAAAATTTGCTTCTAGGTTTTAAACTCCCCACAGTTCAGATATTTGGATCTGGGTTTTGGTTTGTATCCATTATTTCCAGGGTTAGCAAGGAATTAATCCTTATTTTCCAGCCTACCATGAAAGAGCCTCTTTTAGATGCTGGATTCCACAGGATCGTGACATGTTCCCTGTGATATTGAATGGCCGTCGGGTATCTGCTGCAGAGTCAAAAGGGTATTCTCTTCTTCTACTCCACTGAGAATTTTTTCAGGCTCTGCAGATAAATCTGAGCTGTAACAAGAAGTGCAGATTATTAATGGGGTAGCAAACAGATACATGGGCCCATCATGGTGGGCCAAATCCTGAAATCTTAACTTAATCTTTGCCTGGGCAATTCCTACTGAAGTTTGGGGCCAGATCTTCAGCTAATGTAAATTGGCATCTCTGCATTGTCGTTAATGGAGTAATGCCAATTTTCACCAGCTGGACCATTTACATTAATATGCAGGTTAAGAGAGGGCTTCAAGTCTCATGCTTGTAGGTGTCAACTGATCTCCATAGGGGATCGGAAAAGAATTTCCCCTTCTCCCTTGTACAGCACAGTAGAATTGGTTATGTGCAAGACAAGGCGGATGGCCGGGGGCCATTTTCCACTGAAAATTCAGCTATTGACTACTGGTAAACATCTGCACTTGATGAGCCACTGGTCAAATTGTTTACAGACCATCCTCTATTTTGACTAAGCAACAAAACATTTCAACAAAACCCCTCTTATGAAGAAAGAATTAGAATTGCCTCACTCCTCTCTTGAGACCGTCATCATGCATAGTATCCTCTTTTGCCTGTTTGGCATGAACACCTCTTCACTGTGGACTGTACATGAAACTCTTATGTTGTCGTGAGTCAGCAGAATAAACTGTTTTCCTGGTTGGGCACGATAATGGGCCAGATTCTGCCTTCACTTGCTCTGGTGTAAATCATAACTCACCCCATTGAATTAGATGAAGTTATATTAGTGTAAAAGCTGTGTAAGTCAGAGGAGAACCAGGCCAGTGGTGCACACCAGATTCTTCTCTCTCCCAGTGTAACACCAAAGGGATTATTCCTAATTTACACCCATGTGGCAGGTGATTGGGTCCTTATGTGCCATTTCCTCCAGGTGTTTGATCAAATCCTGAAGTGGGTTATTTAGTTCGCTGAACTGAAGTCACTACATGACATCAAGCATCACCATTAGCAGTTCTTCAGTGTTCTGGTTGTCTATTTGTTACTCCATTATGTGCAATTTCTAAGCAGCAATGCTTGATTGTCTGGAGTAAAGTGGTCTGGAGGTCAGTGTCCTAACGCAGCATGTGCAATCTGTCCTGCTCCCATTGCAATCAATGGCAAATCCCATATTGCCTTCAGTAGGATCAAGCTTGGACCCTTTCATAGGAAATGATAAAACAGATTACCTTTTTATGGTATGCAGTTGATACTTCCCCAAGCGTTTACCTAGAAACAAAGCAGTGCTAATTAGAATCTGACAAGGAAAAACAAACCCATAATTCTAATGAAATTCTAATGCACTCGGACACAGAGACAATATTGTTGTAGCAGCTGAGCAGGGACCAGTGCCCTGGTGCATCTACACAGCAAATAAAGACCCATGGCGGCGAGTCTCAGAGCTGCGTCAACTGATTCAGGGTCGCCAGGCTTGCACTGCCGGGCTAAAAATAGCAGCGCAGAAATTCAGGCTTGGGCTAGACCCACACTCTGAAACCCAGAGAGGGTGAGGGTCTTGGAGCCTGGATCCAGAACATCTACACTGCTATTTTTAGTCCCACAGCACAAGCTTCCTGTCCAAGTCAGTTTACCTCAAGCTCTGAGGCTCAGTGCTGCTGGGTTTTTTGCTGTGTAGACATTACTCACAGTTATATCGGCCTGTGTCAGGAGTAACTCCAGTAAACTGAGTGTATTTTCACAAGTGCTAAACCTGTCAGTGAGATCAGAATCAAGCCAGTTACATGCATGTGTAATGAATGGGCTTTGGCTCCTTAGAGGTTGCTTCCTCCACATCACAGCCAGCAGTGAATTCCTCCTAAACTCTTCCAGTCCTGCCTGTGAGGAAAACAAAGCTCCACCAAACGAACAGGGTGACACGATCCTCAGGGGAATAAAGAACACTGAAATGTTTTAAAACATTTTAAACAAGTGAACAAGTGAACTCACATGGCTATGTGTAACCAGTAATGTTCTGGAGTGAAATAGGTTCACTGCACTTGTAAAGAAAAACTTTACCAGTGCTGGTCTTACTAGCTGCCAGTTCATCAGTATTCTCCTCACTCCTGGAATCAAGGTAACACCGTGATAAGGTTAATTCCCCTATGCATTTGCATGAGAGATCATCCTTTTGATAAGCAATAGGTACTGTGAGCCTGATTCTCTTCTCACATTGCTTTTCCATACGCAGGTGTTACTCCATTAACACCACTGGGAGAAACAGGCTCTGTATAGGTTTCAGAGTGGTAGCCGTGTTAGTCTGTATCAGCAAAAACAACGAGGAGTCCTTGTGGCACCTTAGAGACTAACAAATTTATTTGGGCATAAGCTTTCGTGGAGTGGGTTTTAGCCCATGAAAGCTTATGCCCAAATAAATGTGTTCATCTCTAAGGCTCAGTATAGCCACCAAACTCTGCTTCAGCTGAGTCACTCCAGATTTACACTACTGTAACTGAGAGCAGAATTTGCCCATTGTACATATCTATATATTAAACTGCTTCCAAGAACAAATTCTATAGTTTGTTCCTCATTTGACAAAATGTAACTAATACCCACCAAGCAAGACATTGTACCCCAAACCTTTCTTTTCCCTTGCCTGTAAAACAGTGCTGTTACTTATGTATTAAGCATAAGCTTTTAAGCATCAGTTTCCCTGTGTCTGGATTTGCAGCTCAACATCTGCCTTTTGCTATGCAGCTCCAAAATACCTTGGGGTGTTACATCCGTGTAAAACTAGCATGAGGTTAGAATCAAATTCCTTCTCCATAGTGGGTTGGTTATGACCAGGCCCCACTTTTGGCCCAGTCTTCACTAAATAAGAATGAACTGTTTTCACATATATGCAGTCAGCAAGAATCAAAAGCACTCAGGCAATGAACAGCAAGATTTAATGCATAGTTCACATCTGCCTTTGTGTCAGCAATTCAATATTTGGAGGACAGAAAGATGCAAAAGGGATCCACATCGGACAGGCAGCCAATGCAGAGCATTAAGATGGACACCTACCATCCAGTACTTACATGTCAATAACACTACCAGCACCAATGTGAAGAGAAGAATGACTGTCACTACCACAGAGATGATTATGGTTGGAATTTCATTCTTTAGGTGCTAATGGGGGGAAGAAAGCAGAAATGACTTTTAAACTATGCTTTTTCTCTGCTAAGTTTAATTAAAATCTGGTTGGTCTGACCGATGAGTACGCTGAAATACTGTATCTGCAATCAGCAGGAGTTTGCAGAGTAAATTTCAGGATGGATTTTCTGAGCCTTCCTCATGAATACGAAGAAAAATCAGGAATTCTACATGCAACTTTGTGATATGTTTTGAAAGATAGTTGGATTGTGTATTGTGATAATTCCAAGCTTATTTTTGTTTTGCATAAGTTGGAGATTTGGCAAAACCACAGGTTACTTTTGCAAAATCTCCTTGGGTGGGTTTTGGTTAAGCAAAACCCAAACCAGGGGTGGTTGGATCTAGGCCCCAGTTTTATCTGAGCCAGATCCTGGCCCCCATTATGAAATGGTTGTCTCTCCCAACCAACAATATGCAGTGTTGTTGTAGCCATTTGTGTACCAGGATATTAGCGAGACAAGGTGGGTGAGGTAATATCTTTTATGGAACCAACTTCTGTTGGTGAGAGACACAAGCTTTCGAGCTACACAGAGCTCTTCTTCAAGTCTGGGAAAGGTACAGATCTGAAGAAGAGCTCTGTGTAGCTCGAAAGCTTGTCTCTCTCACCAACAGAAGTTGGTCCCATAAAAGATATTCCCTCAACCAACTATAGATTTTTAGACTTCACTAGCCAAGAAGCGAAAAAGTCTGATTCACAGGTTGCACCACAAAGCCATCAGTGAACACCACTGGCTGAACCTCAAAGATGGGTGACTTAGTGTTTGTCCCTTTCAAACACTGCCCTGTTTCCACAGCAGCAGACAGCATGGTTTGAATCTGAGAAATTTTATCTGCAAAGTTCATGAATATTTTATACAGTAAGAAAAACTTAATTCTGGAACTGAGGGGAGGCAGCACAGAATCACCGTGCCCAGCACATCTGGATCAGTTCTGGGGTGTGAGACCAGGGAGGCGGAGAAACTTTTCCTTGCCTCGCACACAGCCATTGTCATCTGATCTTATAAAAATCCGTATGTTGCACTTGGTCAGACTCAGCATAACACATCCAACTAAGACACTCTAGCCCTTTCCCCTCTTTCATTTCAGCTGGTACAGGTCATCCACACACAACTGATCTATGAGGACAAACTAGCATACTGCTGTATGGAACAGTAGAGGACAAAAAGTAGGTGACATGAAAAATGGCACAACACATCAGCCAATGTTTCTTGCACCTTTCTTGGAACCATTCAGTGCTGGCCACTGTCAAAGACAGCAAACTGGACGAGATGGACGATAGGTCTGAGCCAGTCTGGGAATTCCTACGTTCCCCTGTAAAAATTTTAAAACCACCTACCATGCTACTTTGCAGACAGTGTAACCTTAGCATAAAATGCTATATAAATGACTGACAGGTCAGGCAGGCTGTTAGCTAATCAGACATTTCTGAGCAGGGCTGGGCTAATAGCAGTTTTTTTAGTTTTGTGGTTGAGCTGAAAAATAACAAAAATAATTTTGTTCAACTCAAAATAAATATTGGAAGGTTTTGTTTTGTTTTCCAGAGTTTTTAAAACTTTCCATTTTTTTACATTCCAACACGATATGTCTTTCTGAAACTAAAGGCAAAATGGTTTTGACATTTCCAAAAAAAAGATTTTAAACTTTTTTTTTTCCAGCTCAAATGCTTCATCGAATGTGACCTAAATTCACAAATGGTTTCAGTCAACCCAAATTTGCATTTTTTTTGATGGAAAAACTGCATGAAAATTTTTGCCAAGCTCTGCTTCTCAGACTTAGAATAGTTTTTACCTGGTTTGGATTATCTACACTTTCCTCTGACTGAAGTTTTGAATCTGTTGAAGCCTCTGACAACAGAAAAAGCAGAGAATAAAATGAGTATGGCCCAAAGTTTGATCCCTTGTCGAACAGAACCGAACTATGTGAAGTCAAATTTGTGAAGAAAGGTCCTACTCAGTGTGAGTAAAATTGTCAGAATCTGGCCCCAAATAAAAAAGCTTTAAATTTTAGGATAAATCTCATTTGTAGCTCAGGCAGTGGTTCCCAAACTTGTTCTGCCACTTGTTTGGGGAAAGCCCCTGGCGGGCTGGGCCGGTTTGTTTACCTGCTGCGTCCGCAGGTTCAGCCAATTGCGGCTCTCAGGGGCTGCGGTTCGCTGCTCCAGGCCAATGGGAGCTGCTGGAAGCAGCGCGGGCCGAGGAACGTACTGGCCGCTGCTTCCAGCAGCTCCCATTGGCCTGGAGCAGTGAACCGTGGCCACTGGGAGCCGCGATCGGCCGAACCTGCGGATGCGGCAGGTAAACAAACTGGCCCGGCCCGCTTTCCCCAAACAAGTGGCAGAACAAGTTTGGGAACCACTGATCTATATATATCCATGGTACCCCCACACCTTGAATATGGTGTGCAGTTCTGGTCACCCCATCTCAAAAAAGATATACTAGAAATGGAAAAGGTACAGAAAAGGACAATAAAAATTATTAAGGGCATGGAATAGCTTTCATATGAGGAGAGATTAAAGACTGGGACTGTTCAGCTTAGAAAAGAGATAAATGAGGGGGAATATGAAAGAGGTCTATAAAATCATGACTGGTGTGGAGAAAGTGAATAAGGAAGTGTTATTTACCCCTGCACATAACACAAGAACCAGGGGTCACCTAATGAAGTTAATAGGCAACAGGTTTAAAACAAACAAAAAGGAAGTACTTCTTTACACAACACACAATCAACCTGTGAAACTCATTGCCAGGGGACGTTGTGAGGACCAAACCTATAATTGGGTGGAAAAAAATTAGATAAGTTTCACCAATGGCTATTAGCCAACATGGTCAGGGGCACAACCTCATGCTCTGGGTGTCCCTAAACCTCCAACTGCCAGGAGCTGGGACTGGACAACTGGGGATAGATCACTTGATGATTGCCCTGTTCTATTTACTCCCCTGGAAGCATCTGGCATTGGCCACTGTCAGAAAACAGGATACTGGGTTAGATGAAACATTCGTCTGACCCAATATGGTTGTTCTTATGTATTTTCTTTAACTTGTAAAATAAGGAAGCTGTGGTCCCCACACAATGAATTTCTGATGCATCACAAAGGGCAATGCTCTGAAAAGCTTTGTTTGCTCATTTCTTGTTAAATCATGTTCACAGTGAACTTTAAATCATGCCATGGTGATATAGTGCTAGCAATGGACTGACCTTAGTTTATAATGGACCGAGTTCTGCAAGATGCTGACGTCTTAGACTTGTAAGCTCCTCACAGGAGATACTTAAATGCCTCACAGGATTGGGCCCCTTGTGATTAAAGAGCAGCCCACTGAACTCAATGCGTTACTGGGTTGGGCATGTTAACATTCAAACAGACTGCTGCAGTGACATTACAGATCATGCTCTGAAGGCAAATGTGTGATATAAAAACTAACCACATAACCTATACTGGCAAAAACATTCTGGTGTCTGAATGAGTCACATGCACATTCACCCGTACATAGAAACAGACTTCCTAAGACCACCTCTGTGGTAAGTGTCTGGGCGTTTGACTTCACTAAATGGTAAATTAACTGACTACCATTCCAGACTCAAGCCAATCAATCTGGTGAACAAGATGTCATCAGTATTTCGATTTATAATGAAGATTTAGATGGATGTGAGGGAAAGTTTGTTATTTAGAATTTAATCACTGTGCTAAATATAATTAAATTTGTTGTATAAAAAATGAAGCTGTGTTTTTATGTATATTAAATCCCTCATTGTGGAACACAGGTTTCCTTGTACTTCTGATATAATATTCTGTCCTCTTTGCTCCCCCTGGAGCTGTTTCTCTTTTTATTTATCTTGAAAAAAACAAAAATAAAATTTTTAAGAAGACATGTGAGTGGAGCAGTGGAAAGTAGCTGATAAAAAGGAGCCCAATTCTGACTTGACTTACAACTCCACAGCTTCCAACCTGGGCACCTCTTAACACAGAAGGTTTTATCAGTTGGGGCCTGGGTCTAGCATTCTTTCGATCCAACTTCAGGCTACTGCATTCCACCACCTTGGAGTTCATTAATTCCAGAAGCACATTCCTCCAGGTGCTGCTTTTGCAGGAATATGCAACAATGAACAAAGTGATGTGCGATGTTGGTCATTAAAATAGTAGGGAGCAGTTTGCCAAACTGGCCTCATAAATTACACATGCAAATGTAGAGTTCGTCTGCTTATGTGGGAATGTTAGTGCTCAGTTAGGGATACTGTACTTGTGGATGTAGGTCAGCTGCCTAGGTCTGAGCATTTAGCCCACAGAATTTGAAATTTTTGTTTAGAGAGAGGTCAGTTCCAATCCTCACTTTCACGCCAAGATTTCACTAGCAATGTACTAGCCTTAACTTATACCATGCTTAAAGTGTAGTGTGCTTTTAATCAATGTATTGTGTTGAACACATTTGTTCACAAAGGACCTAATGCAATGGCATGATAAATGGAATTACAGTCAGCAGCAAAAATTGGCCTCTTTTTTTTATTCGATATCATTCAACTGCTCTTCAGTATTTTGTCACTTACATCCACTTCACTCTGTTCTTGGGAGAAGTCAGTCATAATTCCTTTGCATGGGTGTGTGAGAGTGTGACTCATTTAAACAGTGGTGTGTTGTTTGCTGGTTCAGGCTCTGTTGTTGGTCTTGATACCACACTGTTCCATTTAGAGTTCCAGCTAGAACATCAGCAGGGCAGCCCTTTTGTAAAATAAAGTACTCAACACAATAGCACATTCACTGCATTTCCTCCTGGGCTGGGTCAGGTCCATCTGTGCTTGATTCCCATCCCGATCAAAAAGCAATAATCATCTGATTTCTGGCATAAATTCCTCCTTAGCTATACTAAAGAGGCTGCTCAAACAAAACATGTTAGAGTCTTGCCTTCAGCAAAGGACCAATTATCCAAGGACCTGCTAAAGTAAATTAGAACCATCAGGAGACATACTACCCCATGCCGGTCTCAATTCCAGCCGTCCTGCTACGTGACAAATGCCAGTAGTAGTCATGAGAACGGCTTGGATCGTTGTATTTAATTTCAATAACGTTCTCCCTACCCGCAGAGCAATCTTTTTGGGGGTATATAAGAAATAGATGCACTTTTATTCAATCCTTGATAAGCGTGACTAGCAGGTGGAAAAAATGTTGTCACTGAAACAAAACGGATTTTTTTTTTAAAAACAAGTGCCACCAAAACCCAGAACTAAAGTCAGATATTCCAGTCTCATAACACCAACAAGACAATTCAAAGAGCAGGCACAATGAGTGGTCACTAAAAGAGAGAGATCCAAATTAGCTCTCAGGTTGAGCCTCTAAATATTGGGCAGGTACTAATTAAGACTCCGTAGTTAAGCATGAGTTGAGTTTTGCATTTAGGAACAGCCTCATGGTATGAAATACTGTACCGGCCGAGCAAAGAGGAGAGTGCGGGCACACGGAGCCCCTGGCATTGGAGGGGAAAATGGAGAGTACATATAGCCCTTGGCATGAGTGGCAGGGGGTGCAGAGAGTCCCTGAAATAGAGAGGGATGGAAGTGTGGCACGCAGGTAACTTGTGGAGGTGGGCATGGGGGAGGATGCAAGGGGCCCCTGGTGTGTGGGCAATGCACAGCCTACAGAAGCAACAAAAATGTGTGACCACCTCATCTATCCCACTTCTCCTTTCTATAGGATGTAGCAACACACTCAGGGACAAACGATGTTTCCCTGGAGTCAGCGGCGGGGAGGCGGGGGGGTGTTGCCACTGACTTCAGTGCCATCAGACCTTTCCCCTAAATGAATGACTTGTGAATTTAAAACTGCAACAATGACAGACATAATAAATATGCCTCTGAATTGCTCGGCAGCCACCTGCAGAACCGTGCTGTGCTCCGCAGATTAGGCTGTGGAGTGCCGAGATGAACTATTTAACCAGCAGATGGTACAGCGCATGCATATATATTGGATTTCCTGCCCCAACCACAGCCTGCCCTTATGAGGAGGAAAAGTACACTGCTTTATTAAGGGCAGTAGAAAGATTTGAATTCCGTGGGTCATATTCTGCTCTCAGTCAGACAGCTTTCAGTGGAGTTACCCGCATGTACACCTGGGAGCAGGATCCTCTCCTTATGTCCCTGTTCTCTATTGTTCATGCAGGATAATATAAAAAAGGGAACTTCTCAGCTTTCTTCCAAAACTGCCTGTCCACCCCACTTAATTAATCTTCACTGACAACTCCACTGTCCTCTGCAAACCCACACACACCGACGAGGCTACAGCAAATATAAAAATTAATTATACTCTCCAGACCTTCACCGAGTCCCTCTTTCGGCGAGTCTCCCGCAGATGTCAAGGGAAATGTAGCGTAAGAAATAGCATTCACTTCACTTGCCTCAGGGGCTGTCTGGACCGTAACTGGGGGAACTGTCCCTGGAATTAAAATAAACAGAAACTTCTAACAGAGTCTCAGTACTTCTGGGGTTCACCCCAGATTTCAGAGTTTTCACAATACAGTAGGCCTGTCCTGTTATTTTGCTGAAATAAGCTGTGCTACATTTGATCAGTATGCATGTGTAGCATACTGAAGTCAGAGCCACTGTAACAAAGAGGTCCAAATCCTGTCAGGTCACATTTTCACAATGTATTTTTTCCAGCCACTGATTCCCCCTAGAGCAGACCACACCCAGATCAAATCTAGCCACCTTACAGGATAATTTGGCTCATTCCCTGGAAGGCACTACTAGCATGTAAACATGGTATATTTGCAAATGGTGACATTCTCTCTACCTGTAGGAAATGGACTGTCTATGGATGTGTGACTATCATCAGACCTCACAGTAGATGTTTGGACAGTGGCAACTCCCGTCACTGAAACAAAGCGTAAGAAGACAAGCTAAAAGCAGTTCCTCGAGTAAACACTGCTTTGGAACGCAGAAGCTCAGAAGAAGAAGGACTGCAACATGTGATTTCATCAGTCCTGTTGCTGCCTTTCTCAGCCATGGAATGCATAAGGAAACACAAAGAGGGTACTCTACACTGCATGAAGAGATCCACAACACTGAGTCTCAGAGCTGAGGTCAACTGACTTGGGCTCACAGGACTCAGGCTGAGGGGCTAAAAATAGCCATGTAGACTGACCCGGGCTCTGAAACTTGGCACCACAGGGTTTTATTGCAGTGTAGACATATGCTGAATGATCCGATCAGGGAGTTTAAGCTGCAATGGTTTACTATGTTTTTCTACTCCATCAGAGCACTTTGCAGACCATTTAGAACATGGGTTACCACTTACAGAGTAAGCATTTTCATATGTTCTTTGCACTGGATCAAATCACTTTAGGCTACAGCATGTGAGAAGATATCATTCAGTGGCTCCTCAAAGTAACCTAATAAGTGCTTCATCGGTCAGCTTAAATATGATGTTTTTACTCCAGTAACGTCCCTGCAGAGCGATGCCCAGCTGATGGAGCACAAGGAAGGAAAGTGGATGGTATGATACGTAGGCCTGGGCCCAAAGTGCGAAACGGAGAGCTGAATATGGAGCCAGACGTGGATTTCAGTCTGGCCTCAAAATTCAGATCCGAGTGCAATTCAAACACCTCATCCCCTCGCCCTGCTACCTCTGAACCTTGAGGGTCCTACCACCAAAGGCTGAGCAGTACACACCTCTGGTGCTTTGCCTCCACTTCAGATGCTGAAAGAACGAGGGGCGAGAAGCTCAGTTTAATGCTAAGAACTGTGTGGGCCGACTTTGTGGACAAGCTTCTCCCACACAGCTCTACTCAGTCCTGATTTGCTGCTCGAGTTTTTAGCCTTTCCCGAACAAAGCCTGCCAATGGGGGCTAACGGGCTATGAGGCTTGAATGAATATCCACAAGGGCCAGCACACTCCTGTTCACTTGTGTCTTAACCAAGGAGGGAGCTACAAGGCTGGAACAAATGTTTCCTTCAAAAGGTGAGACAGCGTTTTTAGAAAGCCCATGTTCTCTTCACACATCAGCTGTGTCTGAAAAAACAGGAAAGCAAATGTGCCTACAAGAAGTAACTGAACCAAGAGAATTTCTCAAATCTGTTGTTCTTGGGGCCCTTGAGAGACAGCATGGCGCTAGCTGAAGACCACAGCAATGACTTTCCCACGGTCAGAGCAATGACTTCCTGGTGCATTGTCACTCTTGAAGTTTGGATTTCCTCTTTTTTAAGCCCCTATTTGCTGACATTTCCCAAGTGGGCTATTGACATTGCGGCGGGGGGTGGGGGGGGGAGACAACACACAGGTCATGCCTTTAGTTCTGGAGGTCCCTGGTTCAGTCTCTGGCCAAGAGGGTGGCTGCCACATTTGAATTGATGTCAGATCAAATCTCAGAAAGCAGTACCTTGGACAAGGACAGGACTCAGGAACAAACAAGGCCTGTTCCAGTTAGTGAAGTGGGGAAATGTTACAGCCAGATGGAGATTGACATGCATTAGAGACCCTACGGTAGTGACCTACTGTCCTCCAGTTTCCATTGGGATACTAGAAACTGTGTGTAATGGTGCATCATCACCTCAAGAGTCCCCCTTATGTCAAAGTGCGGTGTTGCAGAGGTTTGCATCTCCACCACCCCATGCAGGACACCTGTCCTTGTGTGTCACTCAGCCCACTGGCTGAGAAGCGGCCAGTTCAAACCACTTCCAGAGTAACAAAATGTGCAAGGGTAGTCCAAAGTCCAAGAGAATCAACCTAACCCTTCCCATACATTAACTGACTACCATTCCAGACTCAAGCCATCAATCTGGTGAACAAGAGGTCACCAGTGTTTCGATTTATAAGGAAGATTTAGATGGATGTGAGGGAAAAAGTTTGTTATTTAGAATTTAATTACTGTGCTTAATATAATTAAATTTGTTGTATAAAAAATGAAGCTGTGTTTTTATGTATATTAAATCCCCCATTGTGGAACACAAGTTTCCTTGTACTTCTGATATAATATTCTGTCCCCCAACCTGAAGCAAATACTCACCAGCAACCACACACCACAGAACCACTAACCCAGGAACCTATCCTTGCAACAAAGCCCGTTGCCAACTGTGTCCACATATCTATTCAGGGGACACCATCATAGGGATTAATCACATCAGCCACACTATCAGAGGCTCGTTCACCTGCACATCTACCAATGTGATATATGCCATCATGTGCTGGCAATGCCCCTCTGCCATGTACATTGGTCAAACTGGACAGTCTCTATGTAAAAGAATAAATGGACACAAATCAGACATCAAGAATTATAATATTCAAAAACCAGTCGGAGAACACTTCAATCTCTTTGGTCACTCGATTACAGACCTAAAAGTGGCAATTCTTCAACAAAAAAACTTCAAAAACAGACTCCAACGAGAGACTGCTGAATTAATTTGCAAACTGGATACAATTAACTTATCCTTGAATAAAGACTGGGAGCAGATGGGTCATTACACAAAGTGAAACTATTCCCCCCCCCCCCCGGCTGTTCCTCAGACGTTCTTGTCAACTGCTTGAAATGGCCCACCTTGATTATCCCTACAAAAGGTTTTTTCTCCCCGTGCTTTCCTGCTGGTAATAGCTCACCTTACCTGATCACTGTCATTACAGCGTGTATGGTAATACCCATTGTTTCATCTTGTCTATGTATATAAATCTCCCCACTGTATTTTCCACTGAATGCATCCGATGAAGTCAGCTGTAGCTCACGAAAGCTTATGCTCAAATAAATTTGTTAGTCTCTAAGGTGCCACAAGTCCTCCTTTTCTTTTTGCGGCTACAGACTAACACGGCTGCTACTCTGAAACCTTCCCATGGGGTTTCCCTGCCTTCCCTGGCTCAGGTATCAAGAACTGTCCCACCCAGCCCAAGTTTTCCTGAGGCCTCCAGTCTCTGGCATTTTGTCCCTTCACAGGAACCAGCCAGCCTCCAGGTTCTCCCTCCATACTGAACTCCTTCAGCCTATTTATAAGGCCCAGGTGTTTGTTGAGTTCATCAGCTGATCATCCTTTAGTCCCATGCTCTCTAGCTGACAAGTAATGATCTAATTACCGCTCCAGTGGAGTGAATGTGCCTAACTGGCCTTTAACGCTTTCTCGCCCATGATGTGGATTCACTCCTCACACTGTGATTTCCTGATCAGCTGAAGCATTTTGATCTGAGTCAGCACCCACAGGGACTCGTGATACAGATTGTTTCCAGATGATTAAATAACTATAATGAATCTTTGATTCACATTCAAGAACAGCCAACACTTCTGGTTATGGTGACTTGTCAGAGCTCTGAACCCAGTGATCAAATGTCTTCTGCACCGGTATGATCATCACACATACCTGGACTGAGAACACCACCTTCTGTAGCGAAAGCAGGATTGACATTTTCAGTCCCCTCGGAGATCAGAACCGGAGTTGGTGATTCTGTAGTCATGGAGACAAAATAAAATAAGATACTTAAGAAGACCAGCCTTTTCTTAAAAATGGTGTTCCAAATTGCTGTTACAATTTTGAGCTGCTAGTTAAATGTGGGTGAAAATGTGTAGACACTATTTATGTCGGCAATTCAGGTGCCTAACTATGACAACTTACTTCACTGGCAATTCTGGTGGGTAGGCATCTAAATGCACTCAGGTGTGGGCATAATTAATTGTGCCCGCCTTTAACTGTGGGCATGAAATTATGGGTCCAGTATTGGAGGCCATTTGTGAAAATCTGTCCCAAAATGTTCATGTCACGAGTACCAACCAAGATAAAAACTGGAAACAGTTGCAAGCAGCACTGTGTGCAAACATCAGTCTGGGGAAATGAAGTCATTAACACAGATAAAATTGGATAAACAAGACCAACATCAGCGTTAAGAAAATGAATGAAAAGGCAAGTAGTTTATCAGTGCTGCTAACTAATTAATAATAAAGCCCTGACGCAGGAAAGCCCTGAAGTATGTGCTTCATTTTAACTATGTTCGTGAGTCCTGTTGACTTCATCAAGCACAGCAGGTATTTAAGCAACCTTCCTCAACAGGGGTATTTTCCTGAATTGGTGCCCAAGTTAATATAAAGACTTGAGTGGATCTTTGTTTCTTCACCCTGTTGTCCCACCACTCACTACCAGCCTGAGGCCTTCTAAACAAGAGGATCTAGTCTCCGGAAAGTATCTAAGTGGCATAGCTGTTCACATCACAAAGGTGCTTGAGGAAAACAAGAAAGAGCAGAAGGGAAGGGAAGTGGAACTGGACTGTGTCTTGTGGAGCAGGGAAGTGGAGACAGCACAGAGAGAGATGTATGACTGCAACGGGGATAAGTGTATATGACACAGAGGAGTCAGCACTACTTCTGGACACAGTGAAACCTGCAACATTAATTCTTAAAATGCCTTCCAGCAGAGAACTGACGCTGATGGAGTTATTGTAAATTTATACCAGTATTAGTGAAAGGACATGGCTCAATAGCATCAAAATGAAACAAAGTTACATTAAAAACTTTCAGCCTAAAATGGGTGGCAAAGTAGACTGAAAGCATCCCTCACTTAATAGGTAAAAGAACAGATAATTCATCAGCATGTGCTGGGGTAACAGGAGTGCTCCATATTAAGGTAGGTTTTTCTGCCCTTTTTGTGCCAACCTTGCCATGGCACAGTGAGAGAGGTGCTCAGAGCTGTCTGCTTTTCATACCTTCAGTAGGGAGAACAAGTTCTGGTGTGAAAAAAATGAAATCATCATCTTCAGTCCACACAGAAGCTGTCTGAAAAATGGTTGTCAGGGCAGGAAAGGTTGTGGGGAGGGCAGCTGTGGTTGTCGTTGTGGGAGTAGTGGGTGTTGGGAGTGCAATAGTGGTTGTCAGGGGCAGAGTAGTGGGTGTTGGGAGGGCAGTTGTGGTGGTTGTTGCGGGAGTAGCAGGTGCTGAAACGAAATAAAGAGAAGCCGGATCAGAACATCTTCAATAGAACTTAAGTGAAACAAAGCCAAACCATAACTGAATTTAAACAATCTATTTGCCAAAACTCTGAGAAGAGGCTGATGAACAGGTAATTTAAAAGGCCAGTTAATTAGGTCAGAAATGAGTCTCAAATTAGAGCTGGTTGGAACACTTTTTTTTGCGTGGCCAATGTTGATTTTTTGTCCAAAAATGGACAATCCAAAAACTGAAAATTTAGAGACAAAATCCCTAAAGCCAAACATTTCTCAATTTGGAATTTTCATTTTTGGGATGAAAAATCAATTTTTTTCAAGGAAAGCAGACACATTCTATCAACATTTTTGTTACGCTAAAAACAAAACACTCAATTTTCTGTCCAAAAAAAAAAAAAAGTTGCAAGATAATGTTTGACCAGCCATCATCCCGAGTTGTGCTGTGTCTTCCTCAGGCTGTGGAAACAAAACAAAAAAATTAACTGAATGACCAACTGGTGCTAAAGCAATGAGATCAAATTTAATGTGATGTGAACAGGTGTGACTCCGCTGACTTCAGTGGAATTGCACCTGTTTGTACTGAATCTCCCTAGGGCGCTGTAATATGAAAATGCACTTCAGACTGAGGTTGAAAAGGACTTCACTAGTCCCTCCCCATGACTAGAGGCAGCTGTGAATTTTTTAATAGTTCTTTGTTGAAAAATGCTGATTCATGAAAATCAAGATGGTTCCCAAAACAGGATTGGGTTTGATGAATTTCCTAACTCAAACAAAAAGTGTTGAGAAAAAAAAAAAACATTTCAAAAGAGTCAAATAGAAACATTTTGATTTTTTTTCAAAATGAAAAATTCCAATCTTCCAGTTCAGAATGACTCTTCATTTTGAAATTTAGACTAATTAGACTGAAAAAGATTTTAAAAGGTCAAAGTCAAAAAGAAACATTTCAAAATTAGCATAACAAAATGTTTCGATTGACTTGAAATGAAAAAAAAAGAACTGTTCTTTGGTTTGTGAATTTTTCAGTTTGTGAATATTTTCAAGATTTTGACTTTTTGTCCTGATTTAAGACAAAAAAATATTTTTGTTCTTGAGACTATTTATGGGATGAGAAACCGTTTCCCACCCAGCTCTTGGGTGATGAAATAGGATTGTTCACTACTGTATGTCTACACGTGTCTGCTCATAGTTTAGAGCACAGCACAGATCACTGGCCTTGAAAGTTCACCGAGCACACCGCTGTTTCTCTATAAAGAGAGACAAGGAGGGTGAAGTAATATATTTTAGGTTTCAGAGTAGCAGGCGTGTTAGTCTGTATCCGCAAAGAGAACAGGAATACTTGTGACACCTTAGAGACTAACAAATTTATTAAAATTAACAAATTTATTTTAAATAAATTTGTTAGTCTCTAAAGTGCCACAAGTACTCCTGTGCTTTTCTCTAAGGTGCATAGTCTAAGCCTCAATGGCAGAAGAATGGATTTCTCTCTACAGAGAGAGAAGAGAATTTTGCTCACCTCTGTAAACCTGCAAATTCAGGTTTTGTTTGATATCATTGAACCATCCAGGAATCTCTATGCGGCAGCAGTATGCCCCTCTGTCTTTGTGGTCCACATTGCTTATAGTCAGAGAGACATCCCCTCTGGGGATAGGACCTTTTAGTTGGTATCTGCCACTCGCTGTAGATATCACCTTCCACCCATCCGTGCGAACAATTTCACTGCTGCATTTAGATGACGGACAGATTCCCCGGCCCCAGCACATGACACTGATGTCACTCATTTGTCTAACGCTGTAGGTGCAGGGTAGTTTGACGGACTGCCCCACCTTTGCTCTCACTACTGTGAGAGACACACCATGTGCTGGGGAGAAAGAGCAGGGAAAAGCAAAGTCAAGACCTTTTACTCCATGGATACACAGCCCTACTCCTCAATCTCACGCAGTACTGTATCCCGAGAACAGGACAGTCAGGTAAATATTTAAGTAAGAAGGGGATCTCCTTTTGCCTTTCCCCCATGCACCCTCCATTAGTTAGTTTGTTTTAATAGTGGAATAGTGACCCCTTGGGTCATCCCAGTCTGAGCCCTGCCGGAGAAACCCTCTAAGATACTCCGGGAAAGGACATAAGCAAGTGCTATTAGCAAAGAAGATGGCAGCCTTCCCAGTCTTGACCGGAGGCCTGCATCTTGTTGTATATTAGTCTTTGCTCTCATTATCCTGCAGCTGTGCTGTGCAGTGGGATGAGCAGACTTATGACCACCAGAATGCTCCCTAAAAGGTGAGGAACACTGAGCCAATGGCTCCAGTGTGGGAGGAGAAGGAGTTACAAGGTGATGGGAGGTCAATACTCACTTACCCTGAGGGAAGGGAGGGAGACAAAGATAGGGAATGCTCCCATCTCTCCTGAGCTGTGAAGAGTACTATTATTAATTATTATTATCATCATTATTTTTTTCCAGGCATCCTGGCAAAGGAGATGCCTGAGGAGGGAGTACAGAGCAACAATCTTTTAAAACCCATGGATTGAACAATTGGCGTGTCTATTGAAATGGAGACGATATCACTTGCACTTGAGCACCGCAGATTCCACAGCAAAGCTGAGAAAATGGGACCCAAGTTACGCAGGAAAGTCTTTCACCTTGTGGTCACCATTTCAATCCCAGCCCAAATTGGTCTGAAAGTGGTTGCCATCTATTTGGTGACCTGGTGTGAAATGAATTTGGCAGTCTCAGTCCATCCCCATCCCTGTCCCACCAAAAAAAAAGAAAGATGTTACAATTGGCTCTAAATGCCTGTCTCGGCAGTGAGGCCAAGAATCACCCACGTGTGTCTAAAGGTAATCTCTCCACTCAGGGTTGAGGTACATTGGCAGGCCAGTGCTGGAAGCTTGCCCTGCCATTGCTTATGCCGTGCCTGTTCTGAGAATAAATAAGGGTAGGTCTTCATTCTGCAGAGCTGGCTCCACCCCCCGACCCCAGTTATCAAATGGGCCAGCACCTTTCCTGAATACCTGAATACAAAGCATACTGAACCTGATGCTCCTCAAGTAGACCACTGTAAAGCTGGAATAAGTCCATTGGAGCTACATTGCAAGAGCAGGCTCGGGCTAACAGCGTGTTCAGCTTTACTTTGCATCTACAGACAAACCCATTTCATTTAGCCCCGGGTTTGTCTCCCTGCCACACAGCACCCCCGCTGAATGGCTGTGGGTGTGATTCTGAAATCATAGCTAACAGGGATGGTTCAGCCAGGAATGGTTCTTTTAGCTAAGGGCACTGTAATAAAAAAAGAAGAGTTCACATATTGGGGCAAATTCCCTGCTGGCCTAACTCCATTGACTCGAAGGGACGTTAGCCAGTGGAGGAGTTCTGCGGAAGTTCTAGGCAGCAGTTCTGCGGAAAAGGACCTAGGGGTGACAGTGGACGAGAAGCTGGATATGAGTCAGCAGTGTGCCCTTGTTGCCAAGAAGGCCAATGGCATTTTGGGATGTATAAGTAGGGGCATAGCGAGCAGATCGAGGGACGTGATCATTCCCCTCTATTCGACATTGGTGAGGCCTCATCTGGAGTACTGTGTCCAGTTTTGGGCCCCACACTTCAAGAAGGATGTGGATAAATTGGAGAGAGTCCAGCGAAGGGCAACAAAATGATTAGGGGTCTGGAACACATGAGTTATGAGGAGAGGCTGAGGGAGCTGGGATTGTTTAGCCTGCAGAAGAGAAGAATGAGGGGGGATTTGATAGCTGTTTTCAACTACCTGAAAGGGGGTTCCAAAGAGGATGGCTCTAGACTGTTCTCAATGGTATCAGATGACAGAATGAGGAGTAATGGTCTCAAGTTACAGTGGGGGAGGTTTAGATTGGATATTAGGAAAAACTTTTTCACTATGAGGGTGGTGAAACACTGGAATGCGTTACCTAGGGAGGTGGTAGAATCTCCTTCCTTAGAGGTTTTTAAGGTCAGGCTTGACAAAGCCCTGGCTGGGATGATTTAACTGGGAATTGGTCCTGCTTTGAGCAGGGGGTTGGACTAGATGACCTTCTGGTGTCCCTTCCAACCCTTATATTCTATGATTCTATGATTTGCCCCCTCCTGTCTATTCCAGGCTGTATGACCTGCCCCATGTCCCCTGAAGTTTTAATTATTTTTTCTACCTTCCTTGTATTCTGTCCCTGGTCATTTCTAGCATCATGCTGAACAAGGGCCATGAGGAGGAGCATGTCTCCTTGTGTTTTCCTTGCTCCAACCCAGACCTGCCCTGCACATGGCCTTGTTCCAGTCCTGTCCCAGCCTCAGAACCAGCCCTGTTCCTGCCTTCCCTGGCTCCACGTAATCCCCTTCTGACCCCAGTTTCAATTCCTGGCTCTGGCATTTGAACTGGCTTCAGTTCTCACCCTCAGCTCTGACTCTGTCTTGACCCTGGACTTGGATATTCAGACCCCTGTTCCAACCACTAGGCCAGACCACCCATGACTTGGTTTCCTGATAGTTGGTCCCATAACACATTGCACCTCAGCTCCAGTGCCTAGCTATTGCAGCAGCCCTAGTGGCAGGATGACCCTATTGGTCTAGGCCCTCTCCAGCTCACTTATTCCAAAGAGGAAGAGAGGCAGCTGGTGCTGTTACCAGCAGCCATAGCCCTGGTTCTGCTCAGCAGGTCCTCTTAGCCAGCTGAGTGAACTTCCTTTCCTCTTGGCATGACTCCCAGGTAATCTAGAGATTTTTCCAAATAGGCCCATCGTTTTTTCCATGCACAATTCCCTGGGTGACATTTGGTCTGTACCATTTTGCCACAGAACTCGTTATTGGGATGACATTTTGGTTCCGTTATCACTTACCCAGATGGCAATTTGGATTTCTAAATTCAAATGGTTGATTCAGACATACAGACAAAGCAGCACAGAAGGCAGTGACATGCAAGGGCTTCGGCCCTTCAAAATGATGTCTGTGGGAACCCGAAGGAGTGTCCTTATGAGACATAAGACCTTGCAAGATGATGATCTAGTTTATTACTAGGGCAGCCTAAATTTATTTGCCTTGCTGCAGTACTGCAGCAAAATGCAATGCAATGCCTTGCAATGGGGAATTCAGCCCTCTTTGCCATGCAATGCCTTGCAATGGGGAATTCAGCCCTCTTTGCCATGCAATGCCTTGCAATGGGGAATTCAGCCCTCTTTGCCATGGTTTCATCCGATGAAGTGAGCTGTAGCTCACGAAAGCTCATGCTCAAATAAATTGGTTAGTCTCTAAGGTGCCACAAGTACTCCTTTTCTTTTTACAGCAAAGTAACTCACTTAACCAGCCTTGGCAGCCCAAGGTGGTGAGCCAGGAGAAGGGGCTAGTTAGCTGAAAACATTAATACGTATTAGGGTAGCCCAGCTCAGAGGTGCATAAAATAAGACCAGATGGAGTGCAGCCTGTTCATTTCCAAGCTGCTAGGAAGTAGGAACCCTACGGCTTTGGGAATGTGAACATCTTCTGTCCACCTTCATGTTATCCAACCCTGCATGACGCAAAGGGAGCGCCATTCGGCAAACGCTTTCAACGAGAAAATGTCTCTCATTTGCATTCTCTACCCTGGAGAGCAGTGGGAATTGGAGTTTACAAAAAAATGGAATGAGGCACCAGAATGTCTAAGACACTGTTTCCAAAGAGCACTGGCACTAGAAAAATGTGGTCCCTGGAGTTTCCCTTCCTTCTTTTCTTCCTGTGTTACTAACATTCCTGAGAGGACTAGCAAAGATGGAAGAATATGAATCCAATAACCACCTTTTAAATTAGCTAAGGGCTTTCCAACAGCTCGTTACAGCATCTCTTAATCTTAGGCCTCATCTAAACTGCAGCTGGGATGGTGCTTCCCAGTTTGAGGAAACAGACACATGTAACTCTGTCGGAGCTAAAAAGAGCCGTGCAGCAGGGGGTAGCATGGGTGGCAGTTCAGAATAGCCTGTGTGCTAACCCGCCTGAACCCCCGAGCATGCATTCAGCAGGGTAGCCCGAGCAACCGCCCATGCTACCTCCAGCTTCACAGCTATTTTGAGCAGACTACTTGAGCTGGGAAGTACCTCCCAGCGGCAGTGTAACTGTACCTTTAGTTCAGTTAAGCAAAATCACACTATTGGCTGTATCTAGGGCCCGACCAAATTCACGGCCAAGAAAAACGCCTCACAGACGGTGAAATCTGGTCACCCTCCATGAAAGCTGGTCTTGTGTGCTTTTACCCTATACTATACAGATTTCACGGGGGAGACCAGTGTTTCTCAAATTGGGGGTCCTGACCCAAAAAGGAGTTGCGGGGGTGGGGGGAGGGGTCACAAGGTTATTGTAGGAGGTCAAGTATTGCCACCCTTACTTCTGCACTGACTTCAGAGCTGGGTGGCCAGAAAGCGGTGGCTGTAGGCAACCCCCCGCTACAAAAACCTTGTGACCCCCCCCCCGCAACTCCTTTTTGGGTCAGGACCCCTACAATTACAACACTGTCAAATTTCAGACTTAAACAGCTGAAATCATTACATTTATTATTTTTAAAATTCTATGACTGTGAAATTGACCAAAATGGACCATGAATTTGGTAGGGCCCTAGCTATATCTAAACACTTTAATACCTCCATTGGGGCCTGATTCTTGGCCCAATACTCACATTAAGTCGCAACTGCTCATATGAGCAGTCCCACTGAGGTCAGTGTGTCTACCCAGTAAGTGCTACTCAGTGCAATTGTTGATTAAACAGAGAAGGGCAATTAAAGTCATATAAAGGTCAAAACACAACTGAGCTCACAATTGGCTACTCACACCATATTTATCAATGTCTCTTTTGGGTCATCAGCAGTGTTTGAACCTGTGGCCTCCAGTGCTAAAAGCATACATCTCTGCTACTTGATATAAGGGAGTAACTCCACTAAGGGGTAACTATAATAGACTCTTTTCCTATTATGTAGACTAGCTACTAAAGGGGACGCAAAGATGCATATGCTTCTAGTGTGGGTTGTACATTAGAGCTGGTTGAAAAAGGGATCATTTTTGCAAAAAAACTTTGCCTTTTTTGTTGAAAAAACATTGATTTTTTTTTCCCTACCAGCTCCATTGTTCATATTCGCTTAGAGCAAGTTAGATAATAGCATGAGTAACAGGTTCTCCAGGGGCCGAGTTGATAAAAGGATAAATATAGTGTTTGACTTCTCGCTCTGTTGTGTCGAAACCTGGCAGTTCCAAGATTTAACAATGCTGAGCTAAGTTAAGATGGGTGAGACGAGACTAACGGTCATTTTGACCCCTAAGTATGTTTCCATATGAAGATATTATTGAAGCAACCACAAATGAAGGCCTAAAAACTGACTTTCTTTCAGGTTGAAGGAGTGGTGGGTAAAGGGTCCTCAGGGGCCTCCTCATTAGGTCCATAAGGGGCATGGTAATAGGTTAGGAATATTTTGGATTCCCTGTTGCTGCAGCAAATCCCGGTGTGGTTTTGGCTCCACAGAAAGCATCATGTACCCTGGTGCTATGTTATCTTGCCCGCTGAATCTCAATGGGAATTGGTGAAGGGATAAAATCAACTTTTGTCTCTCACTGTTTTCTACCAATTTCCTTATCTTTCCCTGGTTGTCAGATAGTGGTTTACGAATATTGCAGTTACTGTAAGCATTAGAATGGCTACTTCCTCCTGTTTGGCATTTTAACAGTTCTATACACCATGGACAATATTTCCAAACCTGGGTGACTAAGGTTAGGCTACTCAGTCCCTATTTAGGCACCTAGGACAGAATTTCAGAAGTACTTAAGTGATTTAGGAGCACAAGGCCCACTGAAAATTTTATTTAGGAGTTTGATTTAGGAGCAAAGCCCACTGTGCTCCTAAGGCCATTGGCTCTTCTGAAATTCCCCTAGATGCCTAAATATGGATTTAGGAGCTTAACTCTAGGCACCCAGGTTTGGAAATTGTGGCCAGTATCCTACCCAGTCTCTCAGGTTTTTCTAATTCTCCTTGTAACATGCATCTCTTGTAGTACTTCTGCGCCAGATTTTACATGGAAGATAATTAAATGTTTTGGGTGGGATTTCTGAAAGTGCTGCGTGTTGCTATAACTCTGCTCCCACCTTCCTTCCATTGGGAGTTTTGCCGTTGATGTTAATTGGAACAGAGTGCAGCCAAGGCAGAGAGCTTTACAAAATCCCATGCTTTGTCTCATTTTATAAAAACATTTCTCCATTAATATTTAAAAATAATGGCTCCAACCTGGGGCTGGCAGCTCAGCTCAGGGCAGACAGGAAACGTTGGCTTTGCATAACTATAACAACAACACAGAAGTAATTTTTTTTTGTAAATCTGTCTTAATAACCAACAGACCCTACACACAACTTTTGCATATAAAGGGGAACCAGATAGTACGCCTGAATAATTACGAAACTAATTAACTAATACATTCTTCTGCATTGGCACTAATTCAAATAATTTTTACAATCTTCTAAAAGGGGACATATATTTACAATCTCATATGCGAAAAGGAATATACTGTATATACACATACAGAAACAATGAATGCGAGTCACATACATGTTTACAACCTTATACATGGGTAGGGGTGTATATACAAATAGAAACAATGAATACCATTTGCTCTGTAACATTCCAAAAATCAAATGAATCTCACTTTGTCTTCTGAAGAAATACAGTGGTAAAGCAAGCAAACACTCACCTATATACAGCTGTAGCATGATCCAGGGAAGCAACAGGGAATGGGCCATTTAGGCTGATTAGAAACTCCAGGAATGTACCAGAACTGACAGAGGACCAGACCGTATACTTTTCAGAAATGCTGAGTGAGCCTGGCTGTAGTGCAATTTCTCCTTTTTTAAAACTTTACATACTGCAACCTCCTCTTCTCCAGGAGGAAGTAACCCTCCTCTTTAAGTCCTTCCACTAGCTCCCCCTTGTACAGGGGATGAAGAACAAAGCTCCCTGTCCTTGCGTTCACGACTCCTCAACCCAGTCTATGCCACTGACCTTGTCTCTTTAGGAGTTTCCCGGTCCCCTACATTGCGCCAGTGCTGGCTTCTGCTTGATGACTCCCGCATTCGCTCCTTCTGCCTCCATGCTTTCTTCCATGGCATCCTCCATGTCTGGAGGGCCTCTCAAAACGTGTTCAGCAAGGCACTTCCTCACCTGATTCAAATCCCTCCTCAAAACTCTTGCCAAGTCACATATGAAAACAAACATTTTTTGCTCTTTTTTTGACCAGGTGTCAGAGCTCTGGTTTTTGGGCCTTGTTCTCAGAGATTCACTTAACCTCAGAACTGACCTCAGAAGAGGATGTATGGCGTGGCCTTCCTGTTTAATACTACAGGCTAGGATTTTCAAAGCCTCCAAAGATCCATAGCCCCTCAACTTTCAATGGTATGTGGGTGCCTAAACCCCTTAAGCTCTTTGCAGATCTTAACCACAGATGGTTAAAAGCACAGCAGGCATATTTTTGTCAACCCTGGTGTGGTGGAAATTATTGCTCTGCCACGGTTTGGGTGAAACCCTGTTGTGGCTAGGGGGCATAGCAGCTGCTCTTCATTCAGGATAAATATAAAAAAAGCAATTAAGCTCCTTTCTGGAATACAGAGTTGCCACAGTAGAACCCACCACCCAAAATACTGGCTACATGAAAGACCTTTCAGGAATCTTAGCTATGTGGGTGGAGGGCTGAATGCAAATGCAGGGGACTGGGCATTGTTTGAGGGAGTTGTATGAGACAGAGCAGCAGATATGTGATGGAAACAGACAGAGAAGGCAGCAAGGAAGCCCCAGACACAGCCAGAGAAGCACTTGTAGAATGACCCTGAGAAAACAGCTAAGGCTATTTTTACACTACGAGGGAGGCATGTGATGCCTCGCTTGGGTACACACAGTCCTGCTTGCCCTCACTGACAGTGTAGCCATGGTAGCACAATTAGCGGCCGCAAGTACAAACCTGCCTGAAACCAGTGGGTCTGTATTCAGTACAGCCCCACCACGCCTCTGCTGCCACAACCCATTCTACCGCGGCTACCCAGGGAGAGCCGGCATGAGTATGTCTACCTAGCCAGGGGAACCACACACCCAGCTCGTAATGTAGATGTAGGCAAAGAGAGCTTCTGGGTAGAGTGCTGGCTGAAAAGAGACTTGGAACTGTGAGCAAGCGGCCTCCTGCTGATTGATTCATACTGTAGTGGAAAGAGAGAGCATGAGACATCAAGGCCTCGTAATAAGAGGCCTGGTATGAGGCCTAAGGTAGAGTTCAAGCCACTCTAATATAAAGCAAAGTAGTGGTCAAGCCCTGCTACTATAAAGCAAAGTTAGCAACAGTCAGGCTGTGAGCAGAAGCCAGGCTCTGCCTGCTTGCAAGCTCACAGAAACTGGCAAGAACAGGGCTGGTATTGCAAAATCACACACATTCCTGAGACGCGCTAAGCGCAGGACACCCATACAAGCACATTCCAGAAGGGTGGTACCAGAACACCCTGATACTAATTATGATACCAACACACTCCCAGAAGAGGATACAAAGACACACTGACAGGATGACAGGGTGATGGAGAGAGAGGTTTTGATCAAACCAACATGTACAAGGTAAAGGGTGGCAACTGACCACGTCAGAGGGTCAATACGTAACTTGTTTGTATCGGTGTATAAAATGGAGCCTCAGAGGGGGTGTGCAAGGGGTGGGGCTCACCCCTGCGGCACCTCCTGCTGGCTGGCTGGCAATTAGCTCTTTTTACCAGCTCCGGAGCGCCCTCTGCCGGTGTCTCACCATCACTGGCCCCGAGTCCCTCCTGGACCCCAGTGCCCCTTTCAGGTCAGGGTGCTGCCCGATGGCAGTACCCCCACAGATGTGGGTCTCCCCTCCCCCAGGGAACCCCCCACCCTCTATCCCCACCTTGCCTCAGCCTATGGGCTACTGCCAGTCACCATCTAGCCCCCTTTCACTGGGACTGACTGCAGTGTGTATAAGCCAGTCATCATAGGGAAGCGGGGTTTGGACCTGCTGCCCCTGCCTACCCGTGGGCTGCCCCCTGCAACCCCAGTACCCCTTTTGGCCTTACACTAGGCCTGCAGCCAGGGGGGTTTCCAGACCGGAGCTTCCTGGCCTTCCCCCAGCCCTGCTCCACCTCAGCTACTATGGTACGCTCCCAGCAGCCCAGCCCAGCCCGTCTCCCTCCACAGCTCTTTTAAGGGCCAGCTGGGCCCTGACTAAGCCACCCGTGGCCTGGTTGGGGCGTGGCACCCAGCCAGGGGCGGCTCTACCAATTTTCCTGCCCCAAGCAGTCGCCACCGGATGGCCGCTGCGCCCAGAAGAGCGGCGGGCCTGCCGCCCAAAAGCCGCCGCTGCGGGAGGAGCCGCGGAGCTGCCACCGAATGGCCGCCGCAGGACACGGCCGGCCGCCCCATTCTGAATGCCGCCCCAAGCACCTGCCTGGAAAGTTGGTGCCTGGCGCTGGCCCTGCCCCCAGCTGAGGCTGCTTCTCCCAGTCAGCCCCGCTTTTCCTTCCCTGCCACAGCCCTCTCCCCAGGCTGTTTTAAGCCTTTTAAGGCAGGAGCAGGTGATTGCACTGGGTCTCTGCAGGGGTTCTGAGTCCTCCCCTGGAGGAGGGAGGACAGGGCCTGGTTTGCTTGCGCAGCCAGGTCCACGTCTTCCGCCTCCAGGCCCTGCAGAGGCTCCTTTACGGTGCAGGTAGTCCGGCGTGGAGCACGTTGGTGCACACTTTCCTCCGCCGCCTCCGAGGGCTCTGATATGACCGGTGGCTCTTTTTCCTCCCTCCGAGAGGCCTTCCGCGAGACCTCTCTGAGCTGCCGGTCTTCTACCAGGACCTCCTCCAGACCTGGAAGCTCTTTTCGGCGACCAGGTCACTTGTGGCCACCAAGGGAGTGGACCTCCTTGCGGAGCTCCTGCTACACAACCTCGATCTCCGTGTGCGGATGGCAGAGTCTCCCTCAGTGTGTCGGAGGTTGGTCCTGGCAGAAACCACCAGAGTCGGAGACCTCCTGGACTATGACAGGGGGCATTGGGTGGAGCCCCGCGCGCTCAGACGACGCATGGGGCTTTCCACCCTTCCGACCCGTAGGCGCGTACTCCAGGAGGTGAAGGCCGCCTTCTCACCTGATTCTCTCGCTTTCCTGCAGCGAGCCCTGCGAGAGGGCGTTCCCTGCCCACCCCTCACCCCTGGCCCTCCAGACATTTTTCTTGGGCCCCTGTTCCGCGAGTCGTTTCCCTCCCCCCCCCCCGGCCTCCCCGCTCCCACACTCTGAGCCAGCTGCATACCCTGCAGCCGGTCCGGTTTCAAACTGCGCCCAGAAACCATCTGTACACGCTCGTGCTTCATACATTGCATTTCCTCACCCTCATGTTCCGACCCGACACCAAATGGTGGGACTATCTTCCACCTAAAGAGGGTGAGGAGCCCCGGTGGGCCAGCATTTATTCCACCTTGGTCCCACGGCCCGCCGGGGACATTAGTTGGCAGCTCCTTCATGGAGCCGTGAGCACGGGTGTGCACCTGACGTGGTTCACCCCTATACCAGAGGCCTGCCCTTTTAGCAGCGTGAGGGAGAACCTGGCGCACGCCTATCTTGAATGCGCCAGGTTGCAGCCCCTATTCCGGCTCCTCCAGAACCTCTTGTTGAGGTTCTGGCTGCACTTTTCCCCACACTTGTTCCTCTTTGCACACCCTATCCGTGGCCCCACGAAGTTGCGAGACCTCCTCATCAACCTCCTCCTGGCTCTGGCCAAAGTTTCCGTCTATAATACCAGGAGGAGGATGTTGGAAGAGGGGGTGCTCTGTGACTGTGGGGCCTATTTCCATTCCTCTCTAGTTTCACGCATCTGGACAGAGTTCCACTGGGCAGTGTCCGCCGGCTCCCTCGACAGCTTTGAGGAGCAGTGGGTGCTGTCCGGGGTTCTTTGCTCGGTGTCCCCATCTGGTCTCCTCATTTTGAACCTCTGACCCTCACTCCGATCCCTGTTTTTCTTTAGTTGTCCCCCGTAATCAGTTGGTCCCTGGCTCCAGTGGTCCCTCCTGCTAGGCTGGGGGAAGGGCCTTTAGCAATGGGTGGTCTTGCGCCCGCCCACTCCCCGGGTTTTCCACAATGACCCCGCTACAGGGTGTCTTTGGCCAGCCGAGGTGGGAATGGAAAGTCCCGACATTCACTGTGCTGTGTCCATTGCAACGGACATACATGTGCCAGTGTAACTGTAGACATTGATCCGGGGAGCTAGGCCATGGTTTGTCAACCATAAACCTGGCTGGGTGGCTTTGCTACTAAACCATGTCTTGGGGTCTTGTTGGGCAATTTGATCAGAGCATGCTGTACGGGCTATCTGGCCAGAACCAGAGAGGACACACACGGAGCCAATGACTAACTACACATGCTGTGTTCAGGGAAACAGGACCTTTATGTGCATTCTTTGCAAACAAACCAGATTGCATCAAAGAATACCTGACTCCATCATCAATGTCTCCCCTGAGAGAAAGAATCCACAAGAACCTGAATACTGGTTAACTGCTTGGGTCAAAGGGGGTAACATTATTTCACTAATTTGTAGTCAAATCCCTCAGGAAATGACTGGCTTCGTCATTCTTTCATCTAGCTTTCCTTGTACAGCGGGATGCTTTGAAAATTGTTCTCTTTTGTTTCTAAGGTAAGAGCTCTTTGCCCAGCTGAAATGAGAATTGTGTCTCGCAAAGTATGTGATTTGAGATCAAAAAAGGCCTCTGAAAAAATA